TGAAGAGCAGAGGGAATAAAAGAGTGTTTGTATCCATTGGTCCGAACTGGTGGGTATTTAAAACGGAAACCAGAGGGTAGAAACTGAAATTCGTTATGTAGAGGATGGGTATAATTATCCAAAATGGACTCAGCCTTCCTGATTACCTGATCTTCATACAATGGTTTCTTTTCCGGTTATAATTAGAACTTCCTTAAAAGGTAAGTTTATATTCTGAATAAGGAGGCTCTGAAATTGTTGCTCGCTCATCAAGTTATCTGTGAAAAACCATAACAAAAACGTGTTTTTAGAGTTAATATTAATATCAATCTGAGTTTTTCACAATGTTTCAGTCAAACTTTGATGTTTATTTGTTGTTAATTTCAAGCTTTAATGTTTTTTTGCTTGTCAAAACATCTTTTCTACTTTTCCTGTGCAGTTTACTCCAAAAATGTAATTGTATTTCTTTTTTTTTGCTTCACAATAACCCCTATAATCCTGTTTGTAGACGAGATCTTATTCTAACAAGAAATATAACAGTCTTCCTTATCAATACCGATAAACTTTTCAGGAGAATAGATTTGATCGTAAAGTACAGAGTACAGAGATATTGTTTCATTGTTTTATGGTCTTAAATGCTCTCTTGTCCACAGTCCATTGTTTCAGTACTTTTCTCCTCTACTTCTTGCTTACATGCATGGATCTGTCTTCTAGCTGCAGCTCTTCATTTCTCTCTGGAAACAAACTGCCACCTAAAGCTGTGGAGTTAGAAACAGAATGTCTTGTAAAAGGAAGTGAGACCAATAATTGAGTGCCTCTACAATGTGGGGTTAAGTTTGAAATGCAATTAGTAATTCCAGCCCTAACATCTGCTCTCATTACTAAGAAAACTGTGTTGTTATATTAAACTGCTGGTCACAATGCAGAGTAAACGTAGGTCTACATCTCAGCAAACTAGAACATCATGGACCTTTCATATACAAGCACCTGTTTCTTGTAATTTCAATGACTCAAAACCGGAATGAAATATAAAGTTAAACATATATTTTTATCCAGAAATATAATGTTATAGCCAGGCTGCAAAATAGCAGGGATTACTATAGCCCCACAGCAGTAAAGATGAAAAAAGTAAGGAAAGTTGAGTGGAAGGAAAAACGTGGAAATGTAACAGATGTAACTCCATATTTGCTTGAGTTTTTTTTTCTTTTGTCTTATAAAGAACAACTTTTCCAATATTTTAAGCAAAATTTAACTGTAGCAAATACTGAAATGCAGTTCACTTAAAACATCAGACGTATTTGGTTTTATCTGTTAAAGTCCAACACCAATTCTCTAATCTTTTCTTACAGCACTCATGGTATTTCTTTGAGGCTCTGGTGAAATCAATGGCTTATTATCTCCTAGAGAGCGGTAAGGTCAAGGTAGGTCGTTTACTCTCCTCTTCTTCCTGAGTTACTCCCAAACAAGCTTAACTCCTGTTTCCTGTCCCCAGCTCTCTAGGAACCAGCGTTTTTCCGCTTCCTTCTACCATGCTGTGGAAACCCTGGTCAACATGTTGATGCCACACATTACCCAGAAATACAAGGATAATCTCGACGCTGCTCGCAACGCCAACCACAGCCTGGCCGTTTTTATCAAGGTCGGTCCTCCTTCTAACTCCTCTGCAGGAAATATTTATCTTCAACATTTTTTTTTAGATAATATTTTTGTTTTATTGCCCTCTTTACATCCAGCGCTGCTTCACCTTCATGGACAGAGGCTTTGTATTCAAGCAGATCAATAACTACATGAACTGCTTTGTGCCTGGAGACCCAAAGGTGCCATTTTTGTTGTGTTTTATGAAGACTTTCCTCCCAGATTTAAAGCTTTCTTGGCGCCCTAAAGAGTTGTTTATCTTATATTCCTGTCAGACTCTGTTTGAATTCAAGTTTGAGTTCCTACGGGTGGTTTGCAACCATGAGCACTACGTGCCTCTAAACCTACCAATGCCGTTTGGAAAAGGCCGAATACAGAGATTCCAAGGTGAGTCCGTCTACAGACGGCCTTTTTCTTGCTTTTCGTCGCTAAGAAAATGAATCAGTTGATATATGTTTTCTGCAGATCTCACGCTGGACTACTCTCTGACCGATGACTTCTGCAGAAACCACTTCTTGGTGGGGTTACTGCTGCGGGAGGTGGGCGGGGCTCTTCAGGAGCACAGAGACATCCGGCAGATCGCCATCCAGGTGCTGAAGGGGCTAATGATCAAACACACGTTTGACGACCGTTACGCTGCTAAAGTAAGTGGTTCCTCTCTTAACTTTGAAAGTTATTAAAACACAAACAAAACTTAGGGCACATTTACATGTGGGCAATAGGTGCATTTCCATCAGCTTTTTCAAAAGTGCATTTTGAAGTATGCTGGTGAAGGTTCTCAGTCATCCAAGTCGTAGTCATTCCAAAAGGAAAAAAAAAGAAATTAAAAACAATCCACTGGACTTGGTTTCCAAATTTGAAGATGTTTCGCTTCCCATCCAGGAAGCTTTTTCAATTCAAAATGTCAGGAACAGCTGCAATCTCTGAAAAACTCAAGAGGTTTTTCTCCAAACACAAAATAATAGTACATTTTAAACCTAACAAGACCCTTAGACAGAGGCTAGTGCATCCTAAGGACGCATGACAGATGCATGACTCAACACAGAAGAGCGACCTCCTCTTGACAAGACTCTGCGGTACATCTACACCTTATGGACAAAGGACATTCTTTTGAGGACCAGAATATTAAATTTTTGATAAGGAAAATATGTGGTTTGAGAGGGGAGTGAAGGAAGCCATCTATGTTAAGAAAGAAAAACAATCTTAAACAGAGCGGGTGGACTCAGGTTCAAGCTTTCAAAAACTTACAACGCAGCAATTGAGTTGATCCCTTCCTGTTATCATCGCAGCCCCACCCCATGTACAGGAGAGCGGAGGACCTCGCCTATTTAGCCACTGACCTTAATCACTGACCTTTCAGACACTTAGATGGGTATGGGGCATTGCAGTCTAACAAAAGAAGCCTAAGGACCCCCATTCCAAAGGGGTGGACCCCTTCGTCTGTTCTAATTTGCATGTTTTCAAAACAAAAACAGGGTTTTGTTGGGCTAATGTATAAAACTTCAAACTCAAAGCTATTCCTGACATTTTTAATTGAAAAAGCTTCCTGGATGGGAAGCGAAACATCTTCAAACTTGGAAACCAAGTCCAGTGGATTGTTTTTCATTTTTTTTTTTCTATTTGGAATGACATTTTGAAGTATCACATCAGAAAAGCTTGATGCAAACTGCAACATTCAGATAAACTCCCTAAAATTTGCAAGAAAAGTTTTTACGCTCACTTGAGGTGTTTTTTTTTTGGCTTTTGTGAAAAAGGGTTGATGCACAAAACGGAAGATGGAAACCCTTCTTTTCAAATCAGTTCTGTCGTAGTGTATATTTACATCACATAACTGATCAGCTGTTTCTGATTTCGCCATCTTCCCAGATGTTCCTGCATTAAGTTAAACTTGGCTGGAAGCAACATCTCCATTACTAGCTAACATGTTAACCTAAGAACAACTTACCCACCCAGTACCCAACACATTTACTGCAGCTATCCGTCATTACTGATCTGTGGTCAGTGTTAGATTGCAGCCCCTACTTCCTGTTTAGCCTCTACTTCTGTGCTGGATGTTACAACCCCCACCCTTAAGACCACTAAAGGGTAAATTCTGGCACTGGGTGTAACACAAAAGTCAGTAAACTAAAAGATGATGTCAGTAGAAAAATATTATTTATTCACAATTTGCAGGGGTCGCAAAGAAAACAAACAGCAAAACACGGAAGCTTAAAGCCTCAGGGTCTCCAAGGCCAAAACAACAAACAACCCCCCCTTTACTCATAAACAAAACACTTTCTAACACAGAAAATGAAAAGAACATAACGTAATGTGGACGATGAAGTACTTTGCGTTGCATGGTTAATTTGATTCAAACCAAATGGAAACGCAGCAAAAATTTGCATTTCCTATTTTTTCTTTTTGAAACTGTTTGAAGTTCACTTAAGGTTTGAATTTCAGATGAATGGAAACATGGCTGCTGACTTACTTTTGGCACCAAAATATTCCCCCTACTATGTTTGTTCTGTTATCATGAACACTTAATTAAAAAGTTTGTTAGTTAATGGAAATGTAATTAGTTAAAACATTAAAGAATCAGAGGCTGAACATATTTAATAATTAGATAGGAAGAAAAGAAAGAAAGAGACACTTTTAGAGTAGACAGATTTAATTTCTCATTTTGTTTACACAAGTGTAAAATAAAAAGAAATTTCGTTTGGAACAGCTCTCTGGACAATTTCATCTTTTTTCAAAGTGCAGCCTTGAAAAATAGTAAAAAAAATTACTGTAAATTTACAGTTCTATCATTTTTTATTTTTTTTTTTTGCTCTAAAAGTCTATATTTTCTGTTGGTGTGTAAAAGGGGTTTTGAGCCGTATTCTTTGTGTTTTATATCAGAGCCACCAAGCCAGGCTGGTTACGCTCTACCTCCCTCTTTTCGGACTCCTTCAGGAAAACGTCTCCAGGCTTGACATCAAGGACTCTCCTCCTCTCAGTAACCAGAATGTAAGCTTGGCTCCTAAAGGATGGAATCCAAATTGCAGCTAATTTTTCTGTTTTACACATCGTAGTTGAAGAACAGGTGGGTGAAACACTCACTTTGTTGCTGTTTTTATGTCTCAGAACATGAGGGATGACTCCCTGGTTCCAAACTCCATGGTTACGCCTCAAAAGCCAGGAAGCTGCATAGAAAATGCTCTGCACAAAGATGTGTTTGGGGTCATCTCTGGCACAGGTGACTCCTCGCTGCCTTCCTCAAACTAAATTACAATTCTTTGGCTATGATATGCCTGCAAACATTGTTATATGTTGTTCTCCGTTAGCCTCGCCTCACAGCTCCACCCCGAATGTGAGCTCGGTTCACCACGAAGACTGCAGAGGCTCTCTGGTCTCCACCGACTCTGCAAACAGCCTTGTGGAAAAGAGCAGCGACAAAAACAACTCCTTGGAGAAGGTGTGTCTGGCTTCAGCTGCATCACATGTTTAGGATCTAAAAAGCTCATTTAGAGGCTTCACTATGTAAACTATTCTCCAATATTGATAAAAAAATGTTAAAAAGAATAAAAAAAAATTAACTTTTTCTCGTTTGTTCCAGAAAAACAAACACTAAAGCTACAAATGCCAATTTAATCTCTTCCATTTTATGTTTTAGGCCAACTAAAAGTAGTGCATAGTTGTGAGCTGGAAGGAAAAATGATGAATGGTTTTCTAAATTTTTTCTACTAAAGAAATTCTAAAATATACAGTCACTTCCTAAATGGAAGCATTTGGATCAATATGTGTGGGAAAGTCCAGATTTCATCACAGAAAGAAAATACAGAAATACTTCTAATTGATTTTCATGGATGCTCCTCTTTCAATCTGACTGAACTTGAGCTAATTTGCATAGAAAGAGCACAGGTTTCAGTCCCTAGATGTACACAGCTGGTAGCAGGCTCAGACTGGGAAAGATTTTCCCAGATCTATGTTTAACCATCACATGACAACCATCTCCAAGGCTTTGGTTATTAACATGGATGCGACACTGACTGCTGCTGCTTAACGTCCACACTCACCTCATCGGCAGGGTTGCCAGATATCACTGACTCACGTTTTCCAACACAAAAAATGTTCATAAACCGCCTGGATATACAAAATCTCACCCAATTTGAACCAAGGTCTATTGATCTCTTAGGCCATAAATCTAAAGAAAAAAAATGTTTCACCCATAGACGGCCATCCTAAACTGCCAGATTGGGAAACATCCCAACCTGGCAACAATGCACATAAGACGGGAAACATTAGCCTTTAGATGCAAAACCCCATCATGCACTGCAACATATTTTTCCAAAATATTACAACATAAATTTGCCGAATATAAGAGGAACGTTGTAGTTTGGTTTAAAGAAAGCATTTTAGTTTTA